CGGGTTGTGTCCCTGCGGGGCCCGCGCCGCCAGCCTCTACGCCCTCTGGTTGGGCTCCCACTACGTGGTGGTGGTCAACAGCTACCGGCACGCCAGGGAGGTGCTGCTGAAGAAGGGGAAGGCTTTCGCTGGACGGCCCCGCACTGTGAGTTGGCAGCAGGTTTCGGGGGACCCCCTCCCACTGCGGCATGGGGTGAGGTGGGGGATGCTCCCAAGAAAGGCGCCGGCACCTGGCAGGGTCCGTCTCGTCTCCCCATCCTGCCTGCAGCAAGGCAATGGCATGGGCAGCCTCTCTCTGCCCTGTTCCCGAGGGCGAACCCTGCACATCCTCCATCCCGAGGGTGCCCGTTCTTCCCCGGGGCTGGCTGCATCTCGGGGCATGGGGATGTGGGTTCAGGTCCTCCCTGCGCCCCCTAAGTTTCCTGGGCACCCCGGCCCCTAACCCTGGCATCTGTTCCCAGACCTCTCCATCGGTCTTTGGGGGGGGGCGGAGCAAAGCTGATGGCCCGGGCTTTGCCCGCCAGCACTAACCACCAGCCCCCTGGACCGTCCCTGGGATGAGATGAGATGATCATCCACCCCCCCAGCATCGCCCCTCTTTGACACACAGCCCCCGCGGGGCTGCCTGTCCCACACCCAGCATCGCCCCTCTTTGACACACAGCCCCCGCGGGGCTGCCTATCCCACAGGTGACCACGGACCTGCTGTCCCGGGGGGGCAAGGACATCGCCTTTGCCAGCTATGGGCCCCTCTGGAAGTTCCAGCGCAAGCTGGTGCATGCCGCCCTCTCCATGTTCGGGGAGGGCTCGCTCGCCCTCGAGAGGATCAGTAAGTGCCCCCTGCCAGCCCCCAGGCTCCCTCCTGGCTCTGTCTCCCTCCCACACTTGATCCAAGCTGGACTTTTCGTTTCTCCATGCTTTGATCCCCTGGGAACCAAGGGGACACTCATTGGCTCACCCCAACCCCCCCCAGCATCCCCCCAGTTTACCTAGCAGGGGTTTGGTCCCTCTCCTTCCATCCCCAGTACTTTACCAACATCTCTCCCCATGCATTTTCCACCCTGAGCTTTGGCTCCCCTCACTTACAGCTGGGGAAACTGAGGCATGGAGCCAGCTCCCGGCCCTGCGGGCTCCCTGCTCCACCCAGGAGGAGCATCAAGCTGCACACAGAGACTTCCCTGAGTGTCTCCATCCTCTCTGCTCCTCCCCAGCACCCACATCGTCCCTCCTGCCCATCCCAGCCCCTCGGGGCTCAGCCCTCGCTGGGGGGTGCTCTCTGCAGGCTGCACAGCCTGAATGAGTGGGGGACCCCTCCTTCCAGCCCCCAGCTGCCCCCTCCAGCCCCTCGGCTTCACCATCACTCCCTCGCCTGCCTCTCCCCTCCACCCCAGTCTGCCAGGAGGCTGCATCCCTGTGTGAGACGCTCAGTGCTGCGCAGGATACAGCCCTGGATGTGGCCCCCGAGCTCACACGGGCCGTCACCAATGTGGTCTGCTCCCTCTGCTTCAACTCCTCGTACCGGCGTGGGGACCCCGAGTTCGAGGCCATGCTGGAGTACAGCCAGGGTATCGTGGACACCGTGGCCAAGGAGAGCTTGGTGGACATCTTCCCCTGGCTCCAGGTGAACATGGACACGGGGACTGCCTGTTCCTCTCACCTCAGCTGAGAGGAAGGAGCTGGGATGTGTCCTGCAGGAGGGGGTTACCTGACACCCCAGGGTTAGGAGGGTCCCTGCCCCAGTGTCCCACAAGAGCCAGTACCCTGGTGGGCACGGAGCGACTGCCTGGGGGCCTGCAGAGGCTGGGATGAGCTGGAGCCCCTTGCTGTAATGGGGCTTTTCTCCCACAGATCTTCCCCAACAAGGACCTGGCCCTGCTGAAGAGATGCCTCAAGGTCCGGGACCAGCTGCTCCAGCAGAAGTTCACCGAACACAAGGTGCCAACGAGGCCAGGACAGGGAGATGCTCAGGAGCTGCGGGGTACTGGAGCTGGGGTGGAGGGGACTGTGCCCAGGACAGCTCGGCTCATGTGTGTCCCCTGGCAGGAAGCCTTCTGCGGGGACACCGTGAGGGACCTCATGGACGCCCTCCTGCAAGTGAGGCTCAGAGCCAAGAACAGCAGCCCCCCGGCACCAGGGCTGGAGCTGACTGACGACCACCTCCTCATGACAGTGGGGGACATCTTTGGGGCCGGCGTGGAGACCACCACGACTGTGCTCAAATGGGCTGTGCTCTACCTGCTCCACTACCCCGAGGTAGGGTCTGCGCCCTGCACGGGGGGCCTGGGTTGCCTCTGGCACCAGGGACATCGTGGGAGGCTTTGGGGAAGGCAGGTGGCAAGAGAGATGTCAGGCTTTGTGAATAAGCAGGATCAGGCTGTGGGCATTTTACTTCTGCCCTGCACAACCTGCCAGGACATGCTGGTGATGCTGGGTGTACCCACTTCCATGGGGAGCCCCCATGCACAGGGCACCCCCTTCCCTGGGCTCCCACCCCAGCCCTTGCTCCGCTCCCAGGTCCAGAGGAAGGTCCAGGAGGAGATGGACCAGAAAATCGGCCTGGCGCGTCACCCCCACCTCAGCGACCGCCCACTGCTGCCCTACCTGGAGGCCACCATCAGCGAAGTGCTGCGCATCCGGCCTGTGTCCCCTCTGCTCATCCCTCACGTGTCCCTTGCTGACACCAGGTGAGACCCCCCGGGGCGCAGCCGGGACGTGGGCAGAGACTGCGGGAGGGAGCAGCCGTCTCACTCTGCGTTTGCCTTGCAGCATTGGGGAATACTCCATCCCCAAGGGCGCCAGGGTCGTCATCAACCTCTGGTCTGTGCACCATGACGAGAAGGAGTGGGACAAGCCTGAGGAGTTCAACCCTGGTGGGCTGGGTGCTCCCCGTCCTCCCCGGGGGGCAGGGGACAGCGGGGTGGGCACAGCAGAAGAGGCTGAGCCTGGGGGAGGCTTGGTGTTGGGAGGTCGGATCCTGCTCCCCCCTAGCTGGGGCATTCACACCGTCTCTGCTCTTGCAGCGCACGGGAGGGACACACATGTGATGAACTCAGGCAGGTCTCAGGCAGAAGGGACCGATCCCTGCCGATGCCAACGGTGCCCCTTCACCTTGCAGGCCGCTTCCTGGATGAGCGGGGTCAGCACATCCACTCGCCCTCGCCCAGCTACCTGCCCTTTGGGGCCGGGATCCGCGTCTGCC